AATTCCTTTGCTCTTCAAATTCCTTCAAGCGCTGCAAGGATCTCAGCCCTAAGAGAGTCACCTTCTCCAATAGGGCCAGAGAATAAAGCAATAACAATCCCTTCCTCATTCCTGAAGACTCCTCCAATCCCAGAGGGCCCTGGATTCCTTACACTGCTGCCATCAAAATTCAGCTTTATAAAGCCCGAGGGGGAGGGGACCAAAATGGCCAAAGAGTCCTCTTGCATCTAGCAATGGAAGCAAACTCTTTCCAGTTTCTTAGAAAGTCATCCACAGGAAAATCTGAAAACAACTCCAAAGATTTTAGCCAGTGGACAGCCCTTAAAAGGATTCGATCTAACAATTCTTTCCTTGTCGGAAAAAATATTAGTATCATTTTTGTAAGTATTGAAATATAATCAAAATACTGTTGTCCTAGATATGTTGATTTGACATGTTTTGAGAGGAAATTAATGTTATTAATAAAGAAAATTTCTATTTTTCCAATTAATATGCATGCTGAATTGTATATAAAACTAGAGAACTAGGAAAAACTTAGGTTTTTATTTTATGAAATTCTTATTGCCTAGGTGCCCCACTGTTGCCTGGAATCACCTAGGCATCTTAACAACTATTCCTAAAATATAATAAATTGCTAACTAAGGCTTTGGGCATTTGAAAAGTTTTTGTTTTTTAAAATGTCACATGCCCTGGCCCATGCACTAAATCATTGGGACAAAGTGAATCCAGAGTGATGAGAAACAAGACCTGAAGGACCATAAAATATCATTCTAATATTAATGATTACATAGGTGATGGGACTCAAAGGGATCCAAAGACCAAAATGTCCCATTCAACCACAAAAGAAGAAAAAGTTATCCCCTTGAAATCCTTTAGAGAAAATGGCCCAAAAGAATAATTATCCTTTACTCAAGATTATACACCTCTTTTAACTGTTGCTGATTTCAAGAGTATTGCAGCATCATCCATGGCAAGAAGCACAATTAACATGGATTGGTTTCCCTCACCAACCCATTATTTCTGTCAAGCTCAACTTTGATAGAAACCTAGGGAATCAAGAATATGGGGAATCTTCTGCAACGATCAAGGATATTTCATGACTTTATTCTTGGGGCCAATTGGTCATAGGGAGTTCCATGAGGGCAGAAGCCGCAGAACTGTTAGCACTGCTGCAATGATTAAGACTGGGGAACACCCTCAACTAAAGAAACATTGTGGTGCAAGGAAATTCTAAGGTGGTGGTGGGAAATAACCGTGATTGGCATTGTGAGGGAAAATAGTCTAGCCAATACTTTTTGTCTAGAGAAGAGCTGCAAATAGATTGATTGTACTGAGAAGAAATATCCATTTAAAATGGTTGTCAGAGCAGGACTTATTAAGGGTGCTAGAGACATCCTATACTTGCACTTTTGTACACAATTCTTCTTAAAAAAATAATAAAATTTGATTCTTACCCATCAAAAGAGGAGAGCATAGAGATATTGAGATAATAAATCAAACTTGGTAGGTGAAATACATGACTAAAATGGTTTTACGAAGAGTTTGTACTCTGGCTCTTCAGATATCCTTCCATTCTGGAATCTGGATCAACTAATAAGGGCCCCCTGAAACAAATTCTTGTGTGTATCTCACACTCAATGAAAGATCCATCATCATAAGAAGATAATGATAATATTACATTGCTATCATGACTATGATTATATAAACAGCAAAGATATTGTTGGTGGAAAATGCAAACAGCAAAGGGAGACAATGCCTAAGTGTTACTGGTTACATTTGCACCATTGTACTTTTCCAAAGTTAAATGACATCAAATAACAGAGTACTTGCCAGTTTACCCCTCACATCTCTAATACTTAGAAACAACTAGATGAAGTTCTCTATGAAAATAAATCTTTCTTTTAACATATTAACCAATAAAAATGAGTTTGTGAAAATTATAATAAAGCACACACTTGTAAGAGTATCTTGGGATGCCAGATGCTGAAGCAAACAGGTCCTTGTTGTGTTGGTTCCACCAAGAGCGCTGAGTACTTTTGGCAGGGTGTTGTAACCCATTAGTAGTTATGGAACTTGAGATAGATGCACTAGAGTCAATACTAGTACCTATGCCATTTGTACGAATAGGGAGAGTTGTTACACTAGGCTCACTTGCACATCGTTGGGGATGAAACCGCTTTCTGTACCACTTTATACCAACAAAAGCACATAATGCTATCAAGATGCCAACAGCCACACCAACTGAGACACCGATGATAACCAAATCAGCTTGACTCATTTTTTTGTTCCGCTCTGACACTCAGAATGTAAGAGCATCTTGCCACTGAGATGGCCTCAAGTTCATCATTCACAGCGTAGATATATATAAGCGGTGAACCTGCATAACATCACCCATAAAAGAAAAAAAAAAAGTAATGACAATTAAATTAAGAAAAAAGAATTCAAACGTTCTTTCTCAGAGATTTTGCTTGTTTTTCCTCCAGAAATTAAATATTATAATAAGAAAAGGAAAGAACATGCAACAACTGTAGCCTAATAAAAGTTTTAAAAAAAATCCATTCAGAAATAGCTTCATCAATAGTGAAATGATTAAAAAAGGGCAAATTTCTTAAACTACCCTTATGGTTTAGCTAATTGACTAACTTTATTCTTACTGTTTAACTTGAAAATGCCCTTTTCAGTTTGGACAAGACGATTCTCTTCTCTCTTCTTTTTATATTTTTTCTTTCACTGTTTTTATCTTCCCCCTGCAAAACTGCTGCTGCAACTCCAGTCCCAAATGAGTTCAACGTATCCATGTTATCAAGATTCATGTATGCAGAGAACAAGTCATCTACCACCTCCCCTTGAGATTTCCTCTCACCCATTCCTTCTGCAATGATATCACCATCTCTATTCCACTTGGATTCCCATTTAACCAACTGAATTGACTTAGCTATTTTCGAATTCTCTCTTGCTGATGCCGATCATTCCAAAATGCCAGGGCCCCTAAGCGGTAGGTGAACAGTCATGGTTTTGGGGCTGGGAACCAGATTGGTGAACAGAGCCGAATTCTACCACCTGGTGAACTGGATTGGTGAACAGGAGCAAAATGGAAGATATCAGCATGGTTTTGGGGCTGGGAACTGGATTAGTGAACAGGTCATCAACCACCTCCCCTTTAGATTTCCTCTCACCCATCCCTTCTTTGAAAAGGATGGAGTACTCTTTTAACAGTAGTCGAGGGATAGAACTATGAATACTTCATCCCCTTTAGATTTCCTCTCACCCATCCTTTTCAAAGATACTGCAAACCACGCTGTTGAACTGATTCCCAGCCCCAAAACCATCCCGGACTCACATACTCGATGACTTTATAAGCAGCAATCTTTTTCAGCTCGTCTTGAGTCAAAATCACCGTCACCGCAGATGAAGACGAAACAATGATAGTTTTCTCCATCATGAGTCATCGCATTGGTCCCGCAAAGTGCAAATGGAAACGGAGACGGAAAATAGAGACAGGGACGGAAAATGGAGACAGAGATGGAGGTGGAGATGGAAACGGAGACGGAGCAGCGATTTGCGTCCTATATTCCTGAGTTTTTTCAACAGTTGGGTTTTATTTTGAAAATTTGAGGAATAGTGGAGGGAAAATTTGACATTTTGTTTTTCCATTAGCACTTAACGACAATGTCAATTGTCAGAAACAGTAGGGATGGTGCAAGACAATTGTTAAACAGTAAGGGTAGAGTTAGTCAATTAACTAAACCATAAGGGTAGTTTAATAAATTTGCCCTTAAAAAACTTCTTGAAAGTAGATGTAAAATTGTGAATAATAGGAATACAAGTCTAGAACCTTGTAATACTGTTGTATCTCTTCTAGATACAACAGTATGATAAGACTGATTAAAACCATGCTTACAATAAAAAAATTAATCCCAATAGTTTAAGATCAATTGCACTGTGAAGAAGAACTGCAAACAGTTGCCATTAAAAAGGGGTTCTTTTTCTCCCTCTTGATTGATATACAGGGAGGGGTTAACATAGAGACCCATGAATGGAAATATCCATCATAACAATAATATCATAATACATGTGACTCATACTCTAGAGGCTCCACCTTAGATATGATCTCTTAATTCATTTCTTATGTTCTTTTTTTTCGATAGGTATTTCTTATGTTCTTTTGGGAGGTTGAGAAAAGTCTATTTAGATGGTGAGAAAAGGTCTAAGGCTTAGATGGTCGCAAGTAACCTAACTCTACAGCTTTTGGACCATAATAATTCCTTGTTATGACCCATCAAGATGCATCTCACCTTGTCACCATGTGCATTTGTTCAAATATTTACCTACTGGTGATATTATTCCTTTCATATATTCAGAACACAGTTCCTAGTTCCCAGAAGGAAGAAATAATGCAGAATACAACATGACAGATGCAATAAAACACCTAGTTTCACATCTTTTCTATCCCTAGTTATCTGTGTTCAAGATAGGAAACAAGAATAAGATGGCAACAGGAAGTCCAAGAACTTAATGAAAAACATATAGATCACTTTAATAAAGGGTAAGCTGTATTTGTATTAATATATGGAAAAAGAAGGTGCACATGAGAAGTACATTGATGCACAAAATATGCATTAACAGCCCTCCCCCGTCAAAGTAAAAAAGACTAGGTAGGTAAAAGTTGTTACTATGGGCAAAGGATGTTTCCACCCCAGACCTATCTAAGCCATCTGAGTTTTGGTTCTCTGTTGAGATTTTATTTATAGTCTTCCGAGGAGATAGACCAGGCACCAAGGGCCTCTGCCAGCATCTTGGCTCCATCTAATAGCATTTGTAGAGTCACCTTCCATTACTAGTGACCTGATGCCTTGTTTTCCAATCCTAAGGGTTAGGAGTCAAGCTTTTCTGGAGTCAGTATCTCCAATGGTCCAACTTTCTGCCCAAAAAGTAGTAATATCTGGTATGTTTTAAAAGGTACCTTAGATGTACACCTGGAGCTGCACCCCCAGGGGCAAGGCACTAACAGATGCTTGAGGTGTATGTCTCATATGCTCTTACCTTTAAATCTAGTTTTTATAATAAAAATGTCATAAATAAAAGTGAGGCAACCATTTTATCATATTCCCCATTATACATTAACATAAGACAGGATAAAAACCCTCCAAATTTGTATATCATGATATTATAATAAAATGTTATAAATAGAAGTGAGAACATCATAGCTTTTTTTTGATAATTTGAGAACATCATAGCTTTGATTTCTTTTAATGCATTACATTCATTTGAAGATGAGACCATACACTTGTTTATGTTAATATTGTGCAATTTATGTGAATTGTTGATTTGAAATTTTTATTTGCAACTTTGTAAGTGATATATTGATGACTGATGATACTTATGTAATTATGGAGGATGATACTTGATGCGATTATATTTCAATTCTATACTTAAATGTGATGGTTTTATTATTAGAAATTGCACATATAAAACTTTTTAATCTCTCATAATTTTTCTTACCTTTATGGGATATTTACCATATTTCTATTTGTTTTACCCTATTTTTAATTATTTATTAATTAAAAAATTCATGCTTAGGAGACTTACGAGTCTTGCATTCTGGTTTACACCTCATGCAGGATGGTAGAACACCTAGCACTAAACCTCCACATTTTAAAAGTTAAAGCACTGATAAAAACACTCCTCCAATACCTGAAGGGCATGCTTTTCCTTGGGATCTTTCATCAAATTGGAGCCCAATGCCCCCTTGTGATAAAGGAGTAGGCACCTTTATAGTGTAGTTAGAAGGTGAAGAGTAGTGTAGATTACAAAATCCTTCTGAGATCGTCAAATAAGACACCTAGAAATTCTTTTGAAGATGGAAAACATGTAGATCATTTCCCTGATGACTCCCCTCAGGAACTAGCGACCTACAAGTGGGTATGAATGAAAGTGAGACATGCGAACGATTTCCCTGAGAAAGTGGAAATCGTCGCTGGTGAATCCATCTTCACGGTGTGGGTGTGGCCTGAAAAATTTCCGACGGTCAGAAGAAGGTACACAGGAGAGAAAATCAGTGAAAAAAGCCAGAAAGAGAAAGGGCAGCAGCCGGGTTTGTCAAAAACAATTTTAATCTTAGAGGAGGAAGGGGAGGGTAATTGTTTGAAAAGTGAGGAGGGGAGTTTGGTGCCGGTTTGACAGGCTTCTCAGGGTAGGGAGGCGGGGGAGATGGCGGCTAGGGTTACCGGAAGAGATGAGGGAGGAGAAAAGGGGAGGAAAAAGGGTGACCATTCGATCTCTTTGTTCTTGGACGGCCATGATGTGGGACTTAAGGGGAAGTTAATGGCGGGCTCCCAAGCTGTAATTTTAAATCAAGATGCTAATATTCTTAGCATTGAGAATTTGAAAGAACTAATTAAAGAGTGCATGTTAGAATTCCACATGGTGCAAAATGTGGAGAGGGAGACACATACAAGGGTGGTCCACAACGTGGGGCTTTTATCTGGAGATCCTAAAGACCCGAAATTATTGGGGCGGTCCGATCAGACCTATATAAGATCACCTTTAACCATAAAGACTCCAAACCTGAGTCCAACATCTGGGCTCTACTCAAACCAAGCTGAAAAGGCAAGTAGTGAACCCAAGCCTCAAACCCACTTCTCGGACTCTTCCACCTTGATTTTTGTTAGACCAAATTGGCTCAGCCAACCAAGTCCTAGACCTAAGAAGAAAAGACTTGGGTCAAACTCTGATGCTATTCCATTCCAAGCAAATCAAGGAGAATCACATGGACGAGATAAGGAAGCGTCCAGCGCCCCTCTCCAAGTGCAATCTCTGGTTGTTGATCACCCATCGGAAATGTTGAATCTCTCCACCAACCTCGAGTCAACGGAAGTTGTTATGGAAGTTGTGCCACTGGTGGTGGTTACTAGTGAGGTAAGCAATGAGAATCAATTTGGGGCTCAAGGGGAGTTTGAAGGCAGAGACAGAATGATAGAGGCAGGGAACCCATCGTTGGCGGGGAAGGTTGTCACAGTGGAGAAAGAGAGTGGAAAGAAAACTGTGGAAGGGACTAGAAGAGGTAAGACCATAACAAACTGTGTCTCCTCTTTGTCTTCTTGGGTAAACTCAAAACTTCTGGGGTTGGGAAAGTACTTGGGGGTATCGATGGAAGGTCTGGAAGAAGAGACAATAAAGTATCTAGAGGGTATTGAACAAAGAGTTTTATTGGAGAGAGGAAAGCTTGCAGCTAAGAAGGGGGGAACCGCATAAAAAAAAGCCGGTAAATCCTAAGACTAACATAGGGGTTGGATGACAAGGCTAGAAGTGGGGAAGGATCTTCAAGAGGGAGTAAAAAAGTGCATAAATAGGGGGGTGAGTACGGTGAATTACTCTTGTTTTGTTTTAAATGGAGTTGAATTTACTTTCATGGAATGTTAGGGGCTTAGGCTTGGGAAGGAGAAGGGTGTTGGTGTGCAATGTTCATAAAAGGTCTAGATGTCAAATAATTCTTCTACAGGAAACTAAGTTGGTGTTTATGGACGCCACCATAATCAGGAGTGTATGGGGAGATGATCAGGTGAAATGGCTCTCGAAGCCGACAGTGGGTAGTGTTGGGGCCTAGTGATTATGTGGGATCCAACGAAGTGCAAAATTTCCTCGCAAATGATTGGAACTTTCTCTATTTCAGTAATGGTGGAGTTGGAAGGAGGAGTGAAGTGCCAAATCACAAATGTGTATGGCCCTACTGATAACAGCCAGAGGAGTGAGTTTTGGTAGGACTTAGCCAGGGCTAGAGGAGTGTTTGATTACCTGTGGGCGATAGGGGATGATTTTTTTTTATAGGAAATGGTAACTTTCATTAGAAAATTGAAAAGATTACAACAAGCTTACCACCCACAAAATGGATGGAAAAAGAAAATAAAGAACATACAAACAGGCCCAAAACAAAGCCTCCCTAGTAACTCCTTGTTTAGCTAAAGTGTCAGCCATTCCATTTGCTGACCTTCTTACCCATTTAAAATGCACCCCAGTCTCCCTTGCTAAGCTAATAATCTCTCTTAGAGGTTGTCTAAGAGACCACACTCCCAGGTTTCCATCTTGCATCCACCCTATTACCAACTTGGAGTCTCCTTCCACTTCTAATTGTTGCATTCCCCATTGTTTCGCCAGTTTCAAACCTTGAAGTAAGGCCATTACTTCTGCCCTTAATGAATCTCCCACCCCAATTGGGCCCGAGTAATGGGCCAAGACTTTTCTTTCCTGATTTCTGTACACACCCCCAACTCCCAACTGACCTGGATTACCCAAGGAGCTTCCATCAAAGTTTAGCTTCACCCTGAAATGAGGCGGAGGTACCCAACATTCTTGTACCACATGGGAGGAAGGTGAGGATACAGCTATAGCACTCCAATTTCTAATTAAGTCAGCTAAGGAGAAGTCCTTGAAGAGATGATGTACTTTCAGCCAATGCATAACCTTAATGGTGACAACCTCCACAAGTGCTTCCTTGGATTTTTCTTGCCCTAGGAAGATCCTATTGTTTTTCTCTTCCCAAATTGACCATAGGATGGCCGCTCTTGTTATTCTCCACATTACCCTGCCCCTTTTCCTTGGTTGTCAGAAGAAGCTAGAGTAAAAAAGGTTTGGGGGGGGGTTCCATCTGTAACCAAACAAAGAAGAGAACCAATCCCACAAATAATAAGCAAAAGGACAAGAAATCAAAAGATGAGTCGCTATCTCACCATTTCTTAAGCAAAGGTAACAGAAGTGGGGAAATGCTCCAGTTTGGCCTTTTTCTTTGAAGTACATCCATAGTATTGATCTTTTGAAGAGCCATTAGCACAAGAGAATACCATATTTCTTTAGCAGGAAAAGTGACAAACACAAAAGAAAACTGAACTAAGGCGTTGAAAAAAATGAACAAGAGAAAGACCCTGAAGAGGACTCTTTCTAAATTCTACTATCTGGGCAGGAAAGATCTAGGAAAATTGAATTCAACACAGTGAATAAGTCATCTGCAAAAGCCAATTCTGAATTCCTCAACCCTCTTCTCAAACCCAAATCCCAAGTCCCCTCAGACACACAAAGTGAGGAGATAGTCTTGTATTTATTTAGGGAAAGAGAATACATTACCGGGAATCTATCCTTAAGGGGGGTGTTCCCAAGCCAAAGGTCCTCCCAAAACAGAATTTTATTACCTGAGCACACATCAAATTTGATGAAAGGCTAAAAGGAAGGCAAAACTCCAGCAATTGCTTTCAAGGGGAGAAATGAGAAGCCCTAGGGTTGACGCCAGCATCCCCATCCATTAGCTACCACCAAGTGCCACAAACTGTCCTGCTCCAAAGGAAATCTCCACAACCACTTTCCTAACAAAGCTACATTTCCTAATTTGATATTGCCAATGCCTAGACCCCCTGCTTCCTTTTTCCTAGAAACTACTTCCCACTTCACTAAATGGTCCTTTTTTGAGTCACCCGGTTCCCACATAAAATCTCTCATGAGCTTTTCTAACTTATTGGCGACCTTGGCAGGAAGCTTAAAGGTAGACAGAAAATACACCAGAAGGTTGGCCAGAGTGGACTTGATTAAAGTGATTCTACACCCTAGTGAGATATAATTTCTCTTCCACCCTGCTAGCTTCTTAGTGAATCTTTCTAAAACTGAGTACCAAAAGTTTTCTGTTCTAGGATTTCCCCCCAGGGGCAGACCTAAATATACCAAAGGCCAACCACTTACCTCGCAACCTAAAGCCCTAGCCACCAACTGCACTTCATCATCCCGTAAATTCACCCCTACTACACAACTCTTGTTCCAATTGATTTCCATATTGGAGACTCTCTCAAAATGCATCACCACCAATCTCAAATTATCCATCTCCTCAATTTCCCCTTCACAAAAGAGAATGATACCATCCACAAACTGTAGGTGAGTGCCAATCACTTGTTGCCTCCCAACTCTCCAACCTTTTAGTAGATTTCTTGTATCAGTCCTAGAAATCAAGACACTTAGGACATCCACAACTAAGGTGAAGAGGAAAGGTGACAAAGGGTCTCCTTGTCTAAGGCCCCTATTTGCAGGAAAGAAGTCCCTAGCTACTCCATTCACTAAGACTGAGAACTAACAAGAGGTAATACAACCCTCCATCCACTTACACCATCTCTCCCCAAAGCCTCTATTCTTCAACACTTCTAGCAAGAAATCCCAATCCACAAAAGCATAAGTCTTTTCTAAGTCAAGTTTATAGATCAGACCCTTTTCTCCTTTTCTTTTTTTTTTTTTTTTTGTAATCCACACATTCATTGGCTATTAAAATCTGATCGATAATTTGTCTCCCTTTCACAAAGGCCCCTTGACTCGGTGAGATTAAGGAAGGAAGGACTTTCTTGAATCTTAGTGCAAGAACTTTAGAAATGATCTTATACAGACTCCCAATCAGACTGATCGGTCTAAAGTCCTTAGGCTGAACTGCAAGCACCTTCTTAGGGATCAAAGCTATGAAAGTAGCATTTGCACCCGCATTTATTTTTCCTCTTTCAAAGAATTCCAAGAAGACCTCCACTAGGTCATCACCTAAGATGTCCCAACAATCTTGATAAAAAGCCAAAGTGAATCCATCCGGGCCCGGGGCTTTTGATCTTTCCATAAAGAAAACTACCTCCTTTATTTCTTGAACCTCAAAAAATCATTCTAGGGGTTCCAACAATTCCCTTTCTCCAACATGCCACTCAAAGTCAGTTAGAGTCTCTCTTACTCTATTGGGGCTGTCATAAATGGATTGCAAATGCTCCACAAAAGCTTTTGCAATCTCTTCCTCTCCTGTTAGCATTGCCCCATTCCATTCCAAACTTTCCACTATGTTCTTCCTCTTTCTTCCACTTGCCAAGCTATGGAAAAATTTTGTATTACCATCTCCTTCCTTCAACCACTTGCATCTTGATTTTTGTCTCCAGCTTATCTCTTCTTTTCTGAGAATTTCCTCCAAATCCTGTTTCAACTTCCATCTCTCTTACCTTTCTTCACACCTCAATCCTCTCTCTGCCTCAGCAACATCAAGTTCTTGAATCCTTTTACTAATAGCTTCATTTATGTCTTCAATTCTACCAAACTCTTCTTTGTTCCAAGCTTTGATCCTGGCTTTTAGCTTTTGTAGTTTCTTATAAAATTTATATCCCTTCCATCTAAAATCCACCTGATCCTCTTCCCACCATTCTTTCACTTTCTTTTGAAAGTCTGGATGTAACGGCCACATGTTTTCAAATCTAAAGGGGCAAGGTCCTCCTCCTAGTCTTTCTTAAGATAATCTAATTGGCCAGTGACCCGATGTAGGTCTAGGTACTGCCCTCATCACCAAACCACCCCATACTTCCTCCCAATTTGAAGAGAATAAAAATCTATCTACTTTACAACAAAGTCGTTCTTCTTGAAAAGTAGACCAAGTAAAATCAGCTTGCACCAACGGTAGCTCCCTCAATTCAAAAGAATCCACAAAACAGTTGAACTTCCTCATACTTGAGGTGATCCTATGGTTGCGGTTATTTGTTTCAGTTACAAACCTGATGACATTTAAATCCCCTCCCAAGCACCACGGACCCTCCCACAATCCCCTTATAGCTGCTAATTCCTCCCTTTCTCTATACGAATTTGGCCCATAAACATTTATTAAAGCCCATTCCGGTCCATCAATTCTTCTTCTTAATTTCACTGTAACCGTATAGTTACCAATTAATTCTTCTGTACAGTCCAAATCCTCGTTTTTCCAAATTGTCAGAATACCCCCTAAGGCCCCCCAAGACTGTGCTAAAGCTCAACTCAATCCTCTAGCCGACTAAACATTTGATTCCTGAATCAACACAATATCTGGCTTTTCTTTTCTGAGCATTTCCCTTATCACTCTTCTCTTCCTAGAACTCCCCAATCCCCTTACATTCCAACTAATAATCTTCATTGAGAACCAAACTTATGAGCAACCCTAGAAACCACCTTTTGCTAACCTGACTACTTTCCTTTTCTCCCAAAACACCCCGTATCATAGTCCACTTCACATCTCAATCTCCCCACTTCACTCAATTTCTTCTTCCTCTTTTTAGGTGTCCCTCCTTCAAGCTTTTTCTTCGATTTATCTTGTTCCTCCACTCTTTTCTTTTTTGGCTTGTCTTCCTATTTCTTCTCTTTGTTGTTTTTTCACCCGTTTTTACCCTTTCTCCCTCCCTTCCCCTTTCCTAGGAACTAGGAACTGGAGAGTCACCCTCTTGTTCCTTTTCAAAATTCTCCCCTAATTCTTCCTCTACCAAGAGTCTAAAGGTATGCAAAATTAATCCCCAAATCCTTTCCCCTTCATCCACAATATCATTCAGGGCCTCCACATCCTCTAACGTCTCTGTTACTTCAATTGAATCACTAGGACAGTCAACTTTTGGAAGAGTGTCACTAGGATAGGCAGCTTTTGGATGAGTGTCAACTTCACCTACGAGCTGAGACAAAACAACAACTGGGGAAGGGGGCAGATTAGTATCAAAAACTCGAGGAATACAAGAATCAAGGTAAAACAAACTAGAAACATCAAAACCTGAAATATCACCAATTATGCCTAGGTTTTGAGGGAGTTTGCTAGGAGAAGTCTCCTCAGGATCAACCTGTGTTGCACTAACAGGGGAGTAGGGATTGCCTGTTTCTTTAACATTTGACTTGGGAGAAAACATACTCGAACTATTGACACCTTGACCTTCATCTAGATGCGGAACAAGTTCTTCTCTGAATTTGGCCAAGACATTCACCTCCCTTGAAGTACCGCCTCCCATTCCCAAGCTCTTCGACAACTCCAAAGAGTTTGCAGGCTCAAGGGTAAAATCTTCTCCAAAAAGAAGTGTTGTTCCAAGGTCTACAGCCGCTATAGATGAGCTTTTCGAGTACCTGCTTCTCACACTTCCTATGCTGGAACCCTCGAGGAGAAGCTCATCATCTTCCTTTTCTTCTTCACAGTTTACCCACTCTGAGTCAAAACCATCGTCATCAGACCTCCGCCGAACAAACTTCGGGTTTGTACGTTCCGGGGTCGTGGAATGGTAGACTAGTCTTGGTCTCCAGCTGAACTTCTCCACCGCTATTGTGTTCGAACCCCCCCCCCCTCTTCGAGTCAGGTCTCGAGTTAGAAGATGATGGACCTAAACACTGGGCTATCACCTTCAGTCCAACCTTGGTCACGTGACCATTTAAGTGATCACATGATGCCCTTATTTCCTTCGGCCCAGCCCCTTCCTTAAACCTTAAAATATTGGATGATGGCCCATTTAAAAGCCCATTACTGAAATTCTTTGAATTGTCTAGAGGTCCAAAGCCAAGTGTCACTCGATTTAGCCCATTACTGAAATTCTGTGAACCTGGTTTGAATCTCTTCGAGTTACCCAGTTCAACACTTGGCCTGGTTTTGCTCAAAAAGTGAGCCCCTCCACCTGTCAAAGTTTGGGCATAGGACCTGCCCCTATCTGTGTCTTTAACTTGTCTTGCACGCTCAAGGCATTTCCCTGCAATCTCACCTTTCGCATTCTTCTTTCCTAGACTTTCCAAAACTGTGTAAACCTCAGCCATTTTCAAATCCGCCAATCCCTGATTTCCACGTAAGTATTCTTCTTCCACGTCCTCTTCCTCCTCCCTTCTGGACTTCCTCCATAGTGAAGCTTCAATGGAAGAGAGAAGCCAAGCTGAGTAAAAACAGTTATCAGAGAAAATTTCAATCTTCCTAGGGATTTCTTATGGTTTAACTCCACTCAATCTAATGGCTGTTGATCTAGCAGGAATACACCAACCAGTTTTTCCTTACATGAAGCAATGGACTCAAAAACCTCCTTCTTCCACAGATGGAACAGCAAGCCAGCAATCCTCACTGTGACTCCATCTACCACCGTCCTTTGAGTTTGAACCAGGGGACCAGTTCATGACTGTAGCATTTCCTTCAGCTGTCTGCACATTCAAAGCATTGATTTCGACTTCACCTTCCAACAAGTCAATCAATGCTTTACACTCTTCAAATGGAGTGATCAAGATAGGACCCTTCAGTTTTAAATTTTTTAAGTCTACAGCTATTTTCCCCCAATCCCTTGGTTCCTTTTTCAGTACTGCTATTAGCTTCTTTCCCCAATTTGCCTTCTCCTCTCTATAGACTAATTTTCTAGCACCCAAAGCACTCACCAGAAAACCTGTTGCTCCCTGTTCTTTTTCAGAGAAAGAACCCTCCATTTCTACCAAGGATTGTTTTGAGCCCCTCTCTTCACTCTTCAAGTTCAGGAACTCCTGCAACAGACTATTAATCTCTGCCCAGATTAATCATTTTCTTCCTTCAGGAATGCAGATAAACTGCCTTTTCTTTTCTCCAAAGAACTCCATCACAACCAAAAACCTGCCTTTGATATTACACTTTTCTCTCAGCTAAATGTTTCCTCTTTTCTCCTTCCTTCGAACTTTTCCAATCTCTCTCTCTGGTAGTAGAAAGAGCTCCCTCTACAAATCGTTGGAGCCATTCAACCACATCAGTCCTTACCAGTAGAATCATGGCCTTCTTCAATTCTCTCACCTTCAGAGTGACCTTTCCTTGCACTCTAGTTCTTTCGAAAAATAAATTCTTTGCTTCAGCCTTCAAAGACCTCCTCCATGTCGACTGCTGTTCAGAAACCTCCTCCATCTCCTTCTCTTCTTCTATTCTACTCTTGTTGCTGAAATCCAAATCTCCTTTACCTGTAAAGCCTGAAACTGCCGGAGTGAGTACACCATCACCTATGACCATGGATGTACCAAATAGCACCACAAGAAGTAGGGCAGTTCGCAACCTTTTATGTTTCTCAAGGTTGATGAATATGCGATAGGGGGTGATTTTAATGCGAGACTTTCAGCTGAGGAGAAGAACACAAGGGGTAGAAAATCAAGATCGATGAATATGTTTGCTGAGTTCATTAACAGTTTTGATCTGACGGACTTACCTTTGGTTGGTGCTCAGTTTACTTGGACTAATAATCAGGAGATTCCTGTTCTGGTTAGACTTGACAGATTTCTTGTATCATCAAGATGTAAATCAGCCCTCTAAAACTACTGTAAACTTGGAAAAAATAGAGAGAAAAGAGGAAGAAAAGAAGAAAACAGCAGCACAAAAGAAAGAAGATGGAGAAAAGAGGAGGAAGAAGAAGAGTTCGAATTATCTCTTCTCTCCCTTCTCTAATCCTTTTACTAAACTTCAGTCTTAGCATAATTACATGTAAATCAGCCCTCTAAAACTACTGTAAACTTGGAAAAAATAGAGAGAAAAGAGGAAGAAAAGAAGAAAACAGCAGCACAAAAGAAAGAAGATGGAGAAAAGAGGAGGAAGAAGAAGAAGAGTTCGAATATCTCTTCCCTCCCCTCTCTATTCYTTTTTACTAAACTTCAGTCTTAGCATAATTACAAGTATACCCTTAAGTGGGCGGCCAGCTAGGCAGTAGCATAAAGTTAACTAGCAAAAATAAATAGCAGGCCCATTAGCTAACAGATAAATAAGAAACATACTACAAGAAAAAATACTAGGGCCCATTCGGCCCAGTCTCTTTACATATTACAATAAGGGATCTGGCAACTTCAACCACATGTCGGTTCTTCTTTTCCGCCACTCCATTTTGTTGTGGAGTGTAGGAACAAGAACTTTGATGAATAACCCCAAAAGTTTTAAGATAGGCTAAGAGGGTTTTCTCAAAATACTCCCTAGCATTATCAAAACGGAATATTTTGATCCAGGTGTTAAACTGGGTAAGAATGAGTTCATAAAATTTTTGCACAATGGTTGGTACTTCATCCTAGGATCTCATGAGATAAATCCAAGTGTAACGAGAGAAATCATCAATAAAAAGGATAAAGTACCTATAACCCCTCATAGTAGGCAAATGATATGACTCCCACACATCAGAGTGAACAATATGGAAAAGAGAAATAGATCTTTTATTGCTTATTGAATAAGATTGTCTACAATGCTTTGCCAGTTTACACGACTCACAATGAAGACTTGATAAAGGCATTCCCTTAAACATATCTGGAAACAAATGACTCAAAGCAGAAAAAGACAAATGACCAAACCGAAAGTGACATAGCATAACTTTGTCAACAGACTCTGACAAGACTGACTCCAAGGCAACTCCATGAGGTGGTCCAAGAGCTCTATCAGGTCTGTCCAACAAGTATATTCCGTTCGCCTCATGGCCACTCCCAATCATCCTCTGAGATTGTAGGTCCTGAAAAAACACAATGAGTGGGAAAGAAGGTTATGCTGCTAAGAGATTTAGTTAAGCTGCTAAGAGATAAAACGCAATTCAGGGATTTTGGAAAACGCAACGCGGATTTTGGAAAAACGCAATTCAGGGATTTAGTTAAGCTGCTAAGAGATAAAAGGTTTGTATTAAGTTTAGGGACATGAAGGACAGAGAATAAATAAAGGGTGTTAGAGGTCTTTATATCCCCTTTGCCAGAAATGGGAGCAAGAGACCCATCAGCAAGGGGTATTTTCTCTTTACCAAAGAGAATGTGGTATAAACAGAAAAGATTAGACAGACTGGTCATATGGTCTGATGCACCAGAATCAATGATCCAAGGGGTTTTATGATTACCTAAAACTGAAGCATGGTTTGCAGAAGCACGAATACCTGAGTGAGCAAATGCTGATGATGATGATGATGTGTTGCCTTGAGAGTGAGATGAAGAAACAATAGCCTCCAAGTGATTTAACAACCTCCCATATTTTCCAAAATCCGCCTTCGTTGTTGCCAACTGTTCAATGGTTGACTTCTCTTCACTCTCCTTCCTCCTTCCAATACTGTGGCAACATTAGCTGTCTTGGGCTTTCCTGTCTGACTGCCCTTCTTAAAATTGTTGTTATTCTTAAACCGGTCAAGAAGAAGATCAGGATGAAGCTTCCAGCAAGTGTCCTTCATATGCCTCGGTTTCTTGCAATATTCACATACATGCTCATTCTTCTCAGTTGGACCCTTCAGCTTTATCCCAGCATGTGCAAAGTGTTCTGTAGGTGGACTCTGTAACTGAACCTGCCACCTACTCTCTTCACTTCTTACCATAGCATATGCCTAGGCAAGAGTAACCTCATCTTTGGCCAGAATATTCTGGCTAATTATATCAAACTCAGGGTTGAGTCTAGTAAGAAATTCAAAAACCCTGTTTCTTTCCACCAACTTTCTAAACATTTTTGCATCATTCTTACTCTCCCATACAACTGTCTCCATAACATCAATCTCCTGCCATAGGGATTTCAATATAGAATAGTAGATTGCCACACTCTTCTCCCCCTGTCTTAGGTTCTTCACATCACTTTTCAGTTTGTAGACTCTAACCACATTCAACTTCTGTGAATAGGTTTCAGTAGCACTGTCCCAGATCTCCTTGGCCGAGGACATCCAGAGATAGTGCTGACTGATATGAGGTTGCATAGAGTTGACTAACCATCCTATGACTGTATAGTTTTGCATCCATTTTTCAAATTCAGGGTCTGTCTCTTCGAGTTTCACTTTACTGCCTGTGAGGTACCCTAATTTTCCTCTACTACAGATATAAATCCTTATAGATTGTGCCCAAACAAGATAATTTGTCCCATCTAGCTTAATTGTGGTCACACCAGTCAAAACGGAATCTACCGAGCCAAGCTCGGAAACTGGGACCTACTTGAACTCAC